CGACCCACCCTCCACTCCCTCTATTCATATTAACTTCCTTGGACAGTCGTGAATATATGATACCGCCGTCACTCGAGTGAACAGCCTCGCAACACCGGCATCCTTGCCGCCCACCCGCGCTGCTCACCTTGTCCGGCTTCATAGATGCACGGCTAGTCGGAGCCCCTAAAAGGGCATCACCCATCTACATTACAACATTGCTCATCGTAGTCATATTAGACATACACATCTAATATTATTCACTCGCTTAGTCTACCTATGCTGGATCGCAGTAACGACAGCCAGCCAAAGAAAGCAGAACTGGATTGAAAGAATCTCGCAAAGGGCAATGCGCGCGACCACGTGGTATTCGTTACGTCAGCAACGATCGGTGTTAACTTTGAAGTTGTCAGAATCAGAACTACACTAGAAGTACGGTCCCTCACACACCTGGACAACTTGGACTCGACGGGCTACAGGTGGTCCCGGTCATGGGTAAAAGCGCAAAACTACTTAAGCGTGTCGTAAGTCCCTAATAAGCACTACAGGATGTCGCCATATTCAACATCTTATCAGAAAAAAACCAAAACAGGAAGCGCCAGTGCTCCAACTGTTTCGACTCCCCAGGTGCAAGCACAAGCTGCCAAGAAAAAGGCGAACTTGAAAGATAAAACGTCCAAAAGGGGCTCGGGATCTTCTGCAAAGGATGGGGGTGTTCTTGGGGGAGCAGACTATGTCGATCTGATGATGGGCAGCAGGAAGAAAGCAAAGGAGGAAGCTAAAAAACTACCCTCGAACTAGGCCACCGCCCTTTCTCCTTTTTATACACCTCGGGCGTCCAGAAGATGTCGGTCCACTCATTTCAAGTGAGTCCGCGGTTTGCCAATGAGCCAAGAGGTATTGACCCAGCAATTCAAGATGATCACGGTTCATAATACTAAGATATCCAGGTCTTTCAGCAGACTGCCGCACCCTTCCCGCCAACCAACGCTGCGTATGCTTTCTAAATTTGATTTCAGGCTTTCGTACCGAGAGGCATTTGGTGGAACTTTGGAAGGTTCTTTGCTGCTAATAGCACGAAATTTCTTACGCACTAGAATCTAGGATATAGATCTTTATTGCACAATTGATATGCACATCCAAGTATGGTGTTTTGAAAGGCATCGCGCAGGCCTCTCTATCTTCCAATTTCAGTCTCTATATAAATCCCGGAAGTTTTGAACCTGCATTGAGTGATACGAAAAGGATCCTTTCAGAATCCTGCCGAACATTCTTTGCCGTGGCTCAAATCATCCGACCTCTTAGGGCATATCGTAAGCCACAGGCCAGCGCCCACTTTATTGATGAACATCTATTGCTCCATTGCTCCATCCAACATCGGATGATTGTCGCTCCCTTTCCTTTGCCAGTGTTCTCGATGCCACTCTTGGATTTACCGTTTCCACAAGTGTGCTCAGTCCTTCATCGGCATATCTACCTTTGGGAGGATTCAGGCACAAGAAGCCTCAATATATGGATTCCCCGCAGTCAACTCGCTGCGGTGCCGAGAAAGCCAAGTGAGTATTTCATGAAATGGGAAATATACATGTGTCTGAAAACATTCCTTCAAGGAAATACGCGGTATCAATAAACATACGTTGTGGTATCAGGATACAGCAACATAGCCTGTCTAATAACAACCGCCAGAATTCCGAAATACGTCGAAGACGAAATAAAAAGAAGCTCCAAAGTCAATTATCTGGATTATAATGCAGGCGATATTTGACTGACTCGACACTCTTACGTCGTTGTAAAACCCCACACTCGCCAGGGTGCAAGTGAATTGCGCCTCCATGGAGTTTGTCACATTCAAAACTTTCCATCACACTCGGAGCTTCTATTCAAATTCGGAGTGCCTATTCTATGTCGCGACATGAAGCCGAAATTTTGATCATGAATCAGGCTGAACACTTGCCTGCGCACACGCACTGCTGCACCAGTTGTGTGATCTATCCAAGTTGTATTTGGGACACACTAATTGCCTTTATTATATGGACACAATTAATCGACCAACACTGACCTTCTGACCTATTAGGTGCTCTCTGAGAGTCGCATACTTACGGTCTCTCCTTTCATGGCGGGCTTCTGGATCGCGGCTAACTGATAGTAATCTCGACACACTCCAAAATCACACCGCTTTTTGCGCCAGCCAAGCAAAACTGTGATGCGTTCGACGGAAATCGGTCATGTGTGCACTCCAATCACCGCCCTTTCGGATACCTCGCAGCCGACTTGAAGGCTTCAGAATTTGGAAATGGATCTTCAGTAAAGCTATAAATTCTGAGCATTGTCAAGCAACTCCAGCAACAATTTGGATACCACCAAAGAGCTCTACACCACACCCGACATTGTATAACAGCCTAAGCAATGAAGGTGGCGCCATCTTTTGCGTACGAGCTTGGTAATTGTATACTGACGTTTAATTTCGTAGTTCTTCACTATCGTCGCTGCATCCCTCGTCGTCTTCACCGGCATGGTTGCTGCTGCCCCCGAGGCTGCTGAGGCCGTCGCTCTCGAGGCCGCCGAATTCAGTAAACGCGTACGTGGTTTTTGTGAGGTACATCCAAGGAATGTGAGCTAATACCTGCCCCATAGGCATGCGTTGCGTCCAAGTGCGTCTGCAAAAAAGTGCAGGGCCAGTTCTGCGGCACCAGCACGGTTAACCCCGACTGCGTCAAGGGTCACGTTTACGAGTGCAGTACTTCCGGGGCGACCTGCGACTACGGCCTCCGTGACTCATGCGTCAAGTGCAACAAACTTGTTTGCTAAATCAATAAGTGGGAAGAAAGAATTCGGCTTCAACGTTGAATCATTCTTGTAAATAACAGCAGCAGATACTGTAAGGAACTGGATGGTGGCAACCGGCCAATGGTGCGTTACGCACCCTGAAGGTTCGGCGTTAGCAACCGACGCCACGTTAGGCGTTACGGATGCCCAAATAGGCAACTGTTGCGGTAGGATCGCGGCCAGAATTCGCAAACCAACAGACATCAGTACGGATATATGGTTTTTTGGTAGCAACCAAGCCTGCGTTACGCGTTACCCTACTCTAAATAAGCAACGAAAATACCTCGCGTTATGCGTGACGGTTGCCACCATTCATTTCCTTACAGTATATGAAAACGCGGATGATTTTGTGTCGAAGGATAATTTGAATAGCTAAAATATTGTTGAAAGCACTGTCAGAATCTATAGACCCGTATTATTTTTCTGCCAAGGTCTAGGAGCTGCGTTTTTAAAAACGGTAGATTTGCCTAGTGACGATGTCTGCACAAAGGAGTCGGGACGACAGCGCCCTCATGCAACGCGGCTATCTATTTGTCTTGTAAATAAAAATTTTGAGTGCTTAAAAATAAAATTGGTTCTATCTATTTGTTACATTTTGAACGTTTCTTTTTCAATTTGGGGCACCTTTTGTTACGCCACATCCACATATTTCAACCACGTGCATTGGATATGATCATTGCACAGCCACAGACACGACACTCAACCGGCAGCCACGCTTCAATCGCATCGCTCAGCTTGGCATTGCTTCCCAACTACATCTCAGCCTTCTCTCCCTCGCGGTGCAGTTCATTTGCCACCATGTTCCAACTAGCGTTCATGTCTCTTGCCCTTGGTGCCTCTTCCTTTGCATGCGGCATCCTGCCGCTCTCGTTTGCCTTCTCCAGTATGTCATTGCTCAGCCAAGAAGAACGGAACCTAAATCTAACTCGATAACTCAATGATGCAGAAAGTTACCTTGACCGGCTCTCAGCTGTAGGCACGGGGCTGCTGCTCGGTGCCGCGCTCGGCGTGATCATTCCAGAGTAGGTGCGTCTGACCCGCCCTTACAGTACGCGCCTCAAAACGGGACATTTCCAGAGGCATAGAAGCCGCGGTCGAAGAGAACCCAGAGCATGTACCCACGGGCACCATCGCGCTAGCCCTGCTCTTCGGCTTCACATGTATGCTCATAATCGAGCAGCTCGTGTCGCCGCATTCTCACTCGCACGCACACGCACACGCGCAGCCCGACACGCTTGTCCTCCACGTCGTCAAAGGCGACTCGAATACAAAGTCCTCGGACGTAGAATTCGACGCGGAGTTGGGCGATATAGAACGGGAAGAGGGTACGGATCGTGCGGGATACATGCAGAGGGATGCGCCTGTGCCTACCCTCGTGCACGACTCCGCGGCCGCCCCAAACCGTGCGTTTCCTCTGACGTTCGGGCTGGTTATACACGGGCTCGCAGACGGCCTTGCGCTGGGCGCCTCGTCTCTCAATAAAGACCAGTCCGGGGGGTCGTCGAGCCTCTCGTTAATTGTGTTCCTTGCATTGATCATTCATAAAGGTTTGAATCACCTTTTCTTCCCTCTTTGCTAAGATTGACCGCGGATTTACCCACACAGCTCCCACCTCCTTGGCGCTGACCACCTCTCTCCTCGCTACATCTCTCCCGCGCATAAAATGCAAGCAGTACCTCCTCGTCTTCGCGTCATCTACCCCTGTTGGAGCTATCGCCTCGTACCTGCTCTTCTCCTTCCTGGGCAGCGGCAACGGCGGCTGGACGGGCGTCGCGCTCCTCTTTTCTGTAAGATTCTTCTTCTCATTCAATGGGATATTTGGTGATACTCATTCTGCGCAAAGGGAGGCACATTTTTGTACGTGGCCACGGTGCTCCAGCCTGTGTCAGAGTATTCTGCGGCTGCTCCGGGCGAAATGCGCTCGACAACGCGTGTGTTCTATATCGCGCTGGGAATATTCATTCCGTTTGTGCTGAGCTCTCTGCTCGGGCACGGGCACTGAGATTACGGACTTGGCACTTGGTTATTTGTGTATTATCAGCTGTGTCTGTATGCTATAGTTCGAGTGGCTTATTATCTAAAATCATATTGTGAATAGTGGGTTTTTAGACTAGGCAAATTTAGAACTCTCCTTGCACAGTTTTCTTTAATCCTCTTACTGAACCAAGGTACTATATGAAGTGTCAGCTTCAAGTTCTTTGCTAGTATATCGGTTAGTACACGCGCCTGTCATGACGTTGGTGTGTGGGTGACACTGTACGCGCGAAAGCTGGGTTCGACTCCCAGGCAGAGAGTTTACTTTTTTTTTTTTTTCGCTTTGAATTGAATCCAATTTCACAACTACCGCCAGCTGCATGCTGGTGTAAACGTTTTCCAATCCCAAAAATTTCCCATCGTATCCTCACACCTCCCTGTCGATTTGATATAGAAATCAAAGACGCACGACCCAGATAGCCCTGCGGCCCGAGGTGATTTTTTTCCCTTGAGAACTTTCTCACTGCTAAAAATGCAAGGCCTCGTTGGTAACGTTAGCCACATGTATAGCTATAGGCTTTAGAACTTTTAGTCGTCTCGTACCCGAATACCTTGGCGCGGCAGCTTGAACAAAGGTCGTGATTGTACTTACGCGGGTTGGTAGGCTTCTTAGTGAGGAAATGAATGCCACACGATACTCGTGGTCGGCGCGCACTACTTACTTGCAGTTGTCATACTTTTCAGTCGATGGATATCAGACAGCTCGGGACATCTCCTGATAGGGCGCAAATCATTGATAGGGGGGATTATTTAAAAGGTACATGTATGCTCGGAGCCAGAACTAGGCCGCCAAACGTGGCTGGTGGGAAGGTTAAGAAGGTAGCGAGAAAAAGCTAGTACTCGGTCATCAAAGGCTTTCTGGAAGGCCACAGAAGACCCTAGTCGATGTGATGTGGAGCACTTGATAGCGGTGGGGTTAGCATGAGGCATGTTTAGTTCATACCAAGCCCGCGTCGCGCGAGGAGGATGGGTGGTGCCCACAGCTTTAGCCCACGTTGGATTAGAGTGAGTCGACGTCCCTGTTCGCCGATGGCATCAGAGCAGTATCAAAGCGATGTTGATTGAGCTCATGGGGGGGGACCTTGCGTGAACTTGCAGGACTGTCAATGCCGGAATTTCTGACGCTAAAGTAAAGTGAAAGCTGCGAGGTGTATGGTAGGCACCGAGTAGATGCACAGCTTGAGATAGGAGGGGGGCGAGGAGGGCTTGGTTCGGGAATCTGTTACCAGGATCGGCAGAAAAAAGGCACGGAAAATATAAGCGATGTTAATTGAATCATAGCCGGGGAATTCAATCAAGGCAGAGCTGTCCTGTTCCTCACTGTCCCGTACGACGACTGAGGGAGGATTATCTGGAGGGGATGGCGGATACTGCGTGGCCTCGCAGCGAGCAGGTGAGTGGCCATTGCGGATGTGATCGCTGTGACGGCTGTGCGGCGACTGCATTTTGCTTCCGTCTCCCCTGATATGCTCTCCTGCTCACCGCAATCTCGCTGCTTTCTCTAGGCTTTCTCTCGCATATCTCACTCTACACCTTCTTCTCCTGCCCACATGGCATTCCCTATCTCTAGAGCTACCGCTTTTCGCGGCTTTACTACATCTGAGCACGGTGAGAGCAACTCTCACAGCACCCGCTCTGCGTCCACCAGGGCCCGTCGTCCATCGACACACTCCAGCTACAAAGGAAAGGAACCAGCTCGTGATGATCCCAACGGCGACCATGTTTCGCCTACATCTCCTATATTCGGTGAGTGCTTGGCCTTGATAGTGTGTGCCTTCAAGGGGAACCCTGCTGCGTCATATGAGACTGCTGAAGCTTGATACTGGCCGCCATGTGAGGTGATTACTCCCATGGCCGTATCTATACTGTATGCGGCGCAGGCGGTGGTCTCGATTCCAGAGCCTATTCTGCGTTAACTCTGCCTTCTTACCACACGTTTTCAGGGTCCATCGAGCTCTCTCCTTCCCGCCACAAGCCCGCAGCTCGCGCCACGCGCTCACCATCTGCCGAACCTGCACCCGCTGCAAACACAAAGAAGGCATCTCGCAGCAGCATCATCGCAGCTGCATCCGACGCGCTAGGCTTCAGATTCGGACGGCGCAGGCCCTCTATACGCCAGCCACCCATGCCCATAATCCTCCCAGACGTCATCGAGATAAGCGCACCTCGCCGAGACAGGGACGCCGAGGATGAGGAACTTGACCGCCTGCGCGACATGGCCGCCCAGTCGATAGGCCTTCCTGCTATGATGAAGCCTGATGTATACTCAGTCCAGGAGAGTCCTGTCGAAGAACAGCAAGAGCCTGTCCCACAACCACAGACACCCGCTCCAACTCCTGAACCGCACCATGAGGTCCCACAATCACCACACGAATCTAGCTACTCTATTGCTGTGCCCACCTCGCCGGTCGCTGCGCATCGACACCGCTCGCGCTCGCTGCTGGCCCACAGCCGCACTAACTCGATCACACTCTCACTAACGCCCCTGCCGCCCTTCCCCGCGACCTTCCACGCCATCAACCCCTTCCAACAGTCCGGCACTATGCTCTACAAGTACTACCAGCCGTCCTCCCTGCGCATATTTGCCCTCTCGCGCAACTGGCGTCACCGCTTTATGGTCCTCTCGTCGCCGACGGCGCCGGCGATCACGCGCGGCGCAGCCGTCTCGTACCTCCATCTGTTCAAGTCGTCTGCGGGCGAGGAGAAGGAGATGGAGCGCCTCGAGATCAACGAGGATAGCGTGGTGTTCATCGCAGAGGAAGAGGTCGCCGGACGCAAGCATGTGGTCAAGGTCGGCGGCGTGGACGTTGGCGCGATGAAGAAGGAGCTCAATCATGAGGAAAGTGGACGTACGATGTGGTTCCTGCATATTGCCGACCAGAAGGAGGCCCAAAAGTGGATCAATGTTATCAAGACGGCTATTCTTGGGCAAAGGTATGCCAATTTCATACTTAATTTTATTGCTGTGTGCTGATACTGGACCATGATCTAGAACAGTACGAGCAGGTCTAGGACTGCCCGGAAACACATTCGGTGGGATCGAGCCACGCGGTGACATGGATGTGATGCTCTCTATGCGTGCGCAAGGCCTTATCTCCTCTGCCGCTACCTCTACTAGTATCACTCCCGCCTCTACCACAACACCTCGCTCACCCTCGCGTATTGCCACCTCTTCTGCCTCGCCGCAGCAGGCGCACAGTGAACGTGACCGAAATTACGCGTCCTCGATCTCCTCACACCGTTCACAAGCAACCGTCGCGCGCAGCATGTCCACCGGTGCCGTCTCCGCCCTCAAGGGGCTCTTCACCGGCTCAACCTCTAGTACCAATACCAATAGTAGCAGTGGTACTCGCCCACGCTCTACCTCGCGTGCGATGTCCATTGACTCCCAGCCACTTCCAGACCGCGACCCCCACGAGGACTCGTTCGGCAGCATGGGCAGCCACCTCCTTGGCGGCAGTAACCACCTCCGCGCAGGCGCAGGAAACGGCCTCGCTTCCGAGCTAGCGCCCAGCGTGGCGACGCACGCGAGCCTGCCCTACGCGGGCACCATCAGCATCCTCGCACCGGAGAGCCGCCTCGAGCGCAAGATCACCTCAGACCGCCCGATCCAGTGGGCGACCTCCACCACGAGCGTCGAGTCGGCGCCGCCCGCGCCCGCACCCGGGATGATGTCGCGCCAGGAGCGGGCGAACAAGGCGATGTCGCTCGGGTCCCTGTCGCTCCAGCCCCCGCCCCGCAAGCGCTGGACCTCGACGGGCCCCGTGCGGCCGGGCCCAGACTCGGTCGTCCATGCGTATTCGACACAGGTGCAGGCGATTGACGAAGGTGTGGTCGCGGCGCTGGCTGCAGGAGTCTCGGGCAGGGCGGAGACGGAGCCCCCCTCGAGCCCGACAATGTCGGGATTCAACTTTGGTACACCCGAGCAGCGGCCGACTAGAACAGAGTCGTTCCAGTCAGTGTCGACGCTAGCGTCTGCGTCCGCCGAGGGCGCGAACAGCGTTAGTGCAAGCCTGGAGAGGTCAAGCTCGAGCACGAGGCGCAGCTCGGTGAAGCGCTGGTCCAGGCAGGGTGTGTTACCAAAACGATCGAGTCCGCCGGTGGGGTCGCTCCCGTCTGTACCGACCAGCGCAGCGAGCAGTAGCGCCAGTGTCAGCCCTAGTACATCCAGGAGTGCCCGCCATTCGGTGGATGTCCAACCGACGCGAAGTCGGACATCGTCCTCACACTCTGCGTCCAGCCAGAAAAGTTTTGTGTCGAGCCTCCCGTCGTTCTCCAAACGTACCTCGGGCTCGTCTGTGTACTCTTACACATCCACCTTGTCCCGCCCGGCCTCCTCCCACAGCCATAGATTCTCCATACCCCCGCCGCGGCCGGCTCCGACGTCCGCATTGCCACCCGCGCCGGACCAGGACCCCAATTCAGATCCATTCTACGCTTCTTCCTCCAAGCCATCCTTCCGAGACTCGGTCACCAACCGTGCCTTTAGACTTTCCATGAGCGCACCCAAGCCCCCGCCGTCCAGCGTGCTCCCGCCCCGCCCGGACGAGGTCGACCAACTGCAACACGACATCAAGGCCGCCAGAAGGAATTCTTCCTCCTCGGCTTACTCACAGACATCAAGCATCAGCTTCATTCCCGCCTCGTTGCTCCCAGCACCACCCGTGACCGTCTTACCGCCTTTCCCACCTCCCAGGGGCCCGCTACCACCTACACCAGCCTCCGCCTTGCCCCTCCCTAATGATAATAGCACACCGAAGCCAACACCCCCGCGCCCGCCTTCACGACACATCTCGATCAAACAGCGCCTGCGCATCCTTAGCGCACCATCCCCCGCCGCCACCCCGCCGCCCATGCAGCTCCAGCCGCCACCCGACATCCTCACCAACGCCCCTCCGCTAAGACGGCCGCTCCCCTCGCCCCTTGCCCCTTTCTCAGGAGACTCAGCAGCATCCCACCCACTCTCACCCATCCTGTCGCCCAGCGCGCTCGCGTCCACCGTGTCGCCCCCCGCGACCCCCATCGCCGAGAAGATCACGATGTACCAGAACGACCCGAGCTTCCTGCAGATCGACACCCCCGTCACGCCTTTCCTGCCGCCCCCGCGCGCGCTCCCTATCCCACCGGCCGTTGTCGAGCAGCCGCAGGTCACGTCGCTCTCCCCGCCCCCACGCCGCGCCTCGAAGCACGTTGCCGTCGCTGTCGTCGATGCGGAGTCCCCAGTGCACGAGGACAAGCCCGAGGGCGCGGAGCAGCCGCA